GGACTCGTTTCCGTTCTCGACTTCCTTTATACTTCGTAATCCTTTGACGCCTCAACAATTTCCCACTCCCTGTCCTTTTTCTTTCTCTGTCCCGCTTCCTTTCTTTATTCGTGGTGGGATTTTGTTTCAAATAAGAAACGTCGGTCTTTCTCCGAGCCGAGATTTTCCTCGGCCGTACCGAGAGTTACGCGCCGAGACGAAAATTTCGTTCGGCCGATGAAAAAGTGGGAGGCCGTAAGCACACCGTTATGTCATATTAGGAAATACGTGCGTTTAACGGTGTTTCCCCGCACACCTCTCGTTCCTATGACAAGCAGACGGTCCCGATCGTTCGCTCACGAATCGATATTAGGCTTGGCTGACGAATGCGCTTCGAGATATCACGTACAAAAATTGGTTGTTTACTCTTTTAAAAAGAAAAAAATCGATAATAGGCGTTTATAATTCATAGCTATAGGGCGAAGATCGCTGTAGTAAAGTTTGGATGGTCGGACAGGTAATTATTTTTGGTTCAATGACCTCTTATGAGTTCACACTGAAAAAAAATCATCTTTAATGATTTCTTATTTTGTATTGTTCCATGGAAAAAAAGATACATTAAATGTTGATTTGTTGCGCGGATTATCAGATAATATATATTTTGAGATAGCTTTTTTTATTAGTTCGCTATTTGGATACAGTGACAATTTTAGAATATATCGGGATTATTATAGTATCACAATAAAAAACTTTTTATTGTAATATCATAATAGAGATAATACTTAATTTTGTATAGAAAACTTACTATATTTAAAAAAATTTAATGATTTTTATGTTTTATTTATAAATAATGGAAAGATCATAATTGATTTTTTGTATAGCAAATAGATGTTGGCGGGATAACATCGGTTTTGAAAATACAATGAAAAAGAACCGAGACGAAATAGAAAAATCAATCGCGGGAGATTCGTATGTTGCAGTATGTATCGCGGTACGCACTCCGCAAAACATGAACTGCGTTATTGCTTTTACCGTTGTTTTTTTCCAGACTTTCGGCTTGGTCCCGGTACCGTTAGGGACACACGGAGGCTCTCGAAGAACGAGCGTGAAGAAACACTTTCTGTATTCGAAGAGCATCTCCCGTGACGTAACGCGTGTATATCGAAGGGTTCAAAGTACTCGGGACTGCCTCGTATATATTCATTTTCGTTCCGCGCGATTATGCTCGCCGTTTTATTCAACTTGCCTTGCCAACGCCGTCCCGATGGACCGTTATGCAAAATTGCATAATTGTTGGGCCTCGTCGCTGCATTGTTCCTAATTTATTCATTTTATTTTCTGCTTGCCGGGTACGTTGTACCTGGCTTTATTAATCACGAGCGCGATCGCGCGCGGAGACTTAAAAAAAACTGAGTTATCAAGTTAATGCGATTTGACCAGATTAATGTACATTGATAGTCCCCTGATTTATTTACGATTACGATTTGCATCCCAATGAAATCGCCATGCGAGTAAATAACGAACAAGGACGGATTTACGCGTTTGAATTCGATAATGTGGAAGAAAAGCGCGATGCTTTTCAGGATTAGTTCTTGACGATGATTTTAATGAGATTTCCGATCGTTTGCCACTATATCCCACATTAATTTAATTTGCTATCGATTATACAATGGCAATGAATACTCTCTAAATTTTCTGGAGTGAAATTTACTCCAAAAGAGTGAAAAGTCACTCCAGAAAATGTAGAGAGTACAATGAAATATTATCTCTCACATCTGCATTTTACAAAATAAATTTAGTGATTTATTAATTTAAAATTGATATAATTGTCTTAAAATTGAAATGCAAGAGATGCTTGTATATCAAAATATCGAAGAAAGAAAACTCAAGTTTGATAAATATTGTGACCGTAAAATTTACAAATGCATTAAAATGACAATCAATTAATTTATTAATTTATATACAAATACATTGTAATGACAATCAATCAGGAAACATAGACAATTAATCTAAGAATGCTAATCATTTTATGTTTATTGTTAAAGTATATCATGTAATAATCCTTGGTTATGAAATCCATAAAAAGTATTGCACTGCCGTAAATCTCAAGATCTAATTACTTATTGTTAGATTCGCCTTTCAAACAGCTCAATTCTTGTTGTCTTCTTTAAACACGATCAGTGACATAATTTGCGATATTTAAGTTTAAAATCCGACGTGAAGATATAGTTCCCCATTCGAAAATAAGTAATTGTAAAATTAAAATTTCACAAGAACGCTTCAAAAAGATAATTTTCAAGAGAAAGTGTGTTGACCGTCTATTAAGTTTCGCGTGAAAATGTCATCTAATTTTTTCTAAAGTAAGTATATCGATATTTTATTATTGAATTGTTTTTCTAATTGTGGGTTCATGTTTACGTTGTAGTATTGTCTGTGACATTCCAAGATTAAATAAAACGATTACAGTGTTATTATGGTGGTACCTTTGTGTCATGTATAGCATATTTCTACCTGTCGAACTGATAACATCACACAATTTATTAGACTCACCTTGCGACGTATCTGCCTGGCAGCCGGTGAATCCTCTCACGACGAACTGTCAAAGTTCACACGTTGAAGTCACTGACATATCTCCAGTCCGGCGACGTCCGGCTGATAATCCACCATCGATGCCGTGTCAACCGATCGTGTTGCCGCGATTTCACGAATGTTTCTTCGAATTCTTTGACACTGAAGTGATCGGGTATACCAACCGGAGCAAAACGATCTCGTAACGCAATGTCACAACGGTTTTGACGGTATCTCGTATTTCACGGTGCACCATCCAAGAAAGAGACTCTCCTTCATTTGTATCGTTGCGCTGTTGATGTTAGTTTATTATCGTCGCGGAACGTTTTCGCACCCTTTTGCGCGTGCTGGCCGGTTACGGCGAGATGGTCGAACTGGGAGTGCGGCTCTCTCTCGTAATCGCGCGCGTCAGGACTCCTCTCTCCTCTTCTTCTCCTCTCTCTCTCTTTCTCTTTCTTTCTCTTTCTTGATCCGCGCCGGCAGTACGTCGAGGACTGCCTCGTCCTTGACGTACGGTCGTGTACACCGTGCGGAGCCGCGTGGTTCCAACTGACGAGTACGAAGCGGGTAAGGTGAGTCTAGGTGTCTCCTTGCCCGTGCTCTCTCTCGCTCTCGCACGTGTGCGTGACCCACGTAGGCACTGTAGGCAGGCCGCGAGCAAGCGGGCGGGCCTACATGCGTACCTACCGCGGCCGGTGGTGTGCGTGGCGCGTGTTTCTGTGTGTGTATATACACGAGGGGACCGGCGAGGGGACTAAGGAAGGAAGAGGAGGCAGAGTCGCGATGACGACGATGGGCCGTTGGTTCTCTCGGCGTTGGTTGTTCTCTCTTTACGGCCACGCGGTGAACACCTCGTGCTGCCTCTCCGGCTCCTTCGTTGGTTCGCTCCCTCGCTCGTTCGTTCCTCCGTTCGCTCGCTTGTTGGTACGATCGTTCCCTCTTCCGCGCGCACGTTGTCTTTCCTCGTTCGTTCCGTCCAGGTTGGTGCTCGCCGCGGCATACAGGCGGTTATTCGTTTCGTTCGTGCGCGCACGCCGGCATTCCCCATCGACAGAAGCAACGGTACTCTTCCCCACCCCCGTTTTCAGCATCGCTCGGCATCGAGTTCTTCTCTCCCGTGTGTACGCTATCACTCGCCTCCTTCACCTTCTCCTGCACCTCATCCTCCTCGTGCTTGTCTCCCTTTCGCCTGCGTTGGACCCCTCTCGTCCTCCTCTTACCGTGCCCTGTGTCTCTCCCGATCGTCACTGCGTTTTCTTTCATCGTTCTTTCCTATTTTTTTATTCTTAGATTTTCGCTCTCCGAAGTATTGAACTTTCCTATTTTTGCCACGTTAAAGCAAATTTGTAGGACTTTGCCCTCAGACGCAGTCCTTCCTTTACCAATGGCGCAAACACCAAATGAGAAATGATTGTAGGACTTTGCCCTCTGTCCTTACTCCACCAATGGCGCAAACACCGAATGGGAGATAATTGGTGTTGCAGCACTCTTAGCGCAGAAGAAGATGCTAAGAATACGGAAGTGTTAAGAATAGGGAGATTCCAGAGTCTAGAGACTTTTATTAACATTTAAACTTTGAAGAAATTTCCTTCGCGCTCATCACCGATTTACTTCGTTTCAATCTTCGCTCCATCTTCCCTTTAGCTCGTCTTTCTTCTTCCGTGGTAGCTAGCGTTCTCTTCTCTCTTTTCTCCTGTCTCTTATTTTGTCTCTCCTCTTTTCTACTTCTACCTTCCTTACTGTCTCTCCTTGCTTCTTTTCCTCTGTCTCCCACTTCATCTTTCCTTTACCTAGTCTCTTTTCCATGCACTCTACTCTGTCTCTCCTTCTTTCCCTTTCCCTATCTCTGACTTCTTTTTACTTGTCTCCTACTCCGCATCTTCCTTCTCTTTCACTCTCTTCTATGTATCCTGCCTTATTCTTCATTCCATCCTTTTTCCTGTCTGTTAATTCATCCTTTCTCTTCTCTTTTTCTCGACTCCGTATTCCTATCCTTCTCTCTCCCTGCATCCCCTCCATCCCAAGCATTTTCCTCTGTCCTCTTTGGAGTCTACCTACCTCGAGCGTATACGCGTGTAGGTCTCTTCTTCCGTCTCCCTCCTTATGAACGGCAGACGAATGTGCCTTCCATGTTCTCTGGTTACTGACCTCCGAAAATACAAGCTGATGATGATGATGATCATCATCATCATCATATTCGCTAGTGGATTTTACTTAGGAGAATTTTTTTTCTTACAAGATACCGTATAGCGACGGTCTGCAGCGGTCTAGTCCCTCCAACGCGCCTGTCCTCTCCATTTCTTCTGGTTACTGACCTCCGAAAATACAAGTTTCCCAATCGCCAGCATTATAATATTCGCGTCGATTTTACTTACAAGATGGCAAAGGCTTCTTTGAGTGTCCGTGTGTGCCATCAATCCCCGGATCTCTTAACGGTCGAGGGGCAATGACAGGGAATCTGATGGCCGCTGATGAGACGACGGAGATGACCGATAACGACGGCGATCAACGTATATTGTGGTTTTGTTTTTAACCATTGCGCGCGAGAGGTAGCCCTCTCGATTTCGTCTGCGTTTCCGGCAACCGATCGCCGAACAAGATGATTCTTATTCTGAACAGTATCCCCGTTTTAGGCGAAAATTTAATTATAGGGGTTTAATTTTCGTAATTTCAAATTTCTAGGAATGGTTCGTAAGCGGATTATATTTTACATTTTTGCAGACAAATGCAGTGAAAATTGTATGAGTTATTATCTAAAAAACGTAATGAAATAATTGAGTTGGAGGATACGAAATAATTTAAACATCTACTACGAGTATATAAAATAATATATTCTTGAGAATATGAACTCACCCAAATTATCTATATTATTCAGACTTTAATTTTAATTTTAGTGGCAAATTCTTTGAATTATTCTAGTAGCGTTATCAATAGTAGATATTATCTAACAATAAGTATCTATTATTTGTGTATCATTATTTTATATTGAATCATCAAATCATTAAATGCGATATGAATTTAAGAACGTTTGTGTACTTTCCTTATTTTTCTAGATCAGCTAATAATTATTTAAATTAAGGTTTTAGATAATATCGAAAAAGTTGCAAAAAATCATAGTCACTTTTCTTTTATCGTGCCAATAATCGCTACATTCCTTAGTGCATAGATTTTACTTACTAAAGCTTACGAGATATCGTTGATGTATACATACGGTACGTTACTACAATATTGCTGCAATCTTGCATTTTGCAATTCCATGCCTCTGTAATATCTTTGCAATATTATACCGCAATTTGTAAGAGTTCAGTGTTGCCGCAATGTAGCCAAGAGGTACTATGTTGTACGCGGATTCGATCGTCATGATCGCGATAAAGCCGCTTGCCAGTCGAAGAGCGTCGATTTTGTGCCGTTCATATTTTTTGCGTTAACACAAAAACATCAGCCTTGCCAATACACGAGCGGATATAGAGATACGGCTATGGCTTCATTGGCATCTGGCGAGCTTCGCGCTCGCAGAGTCCTCCTATCTGGCATTGAAGTCTCCGGAGTCGACGCCTACGTAATTCCTCGCCCGGCCAACGAAACCAGCTCTATCCGACTTATAAATCTATACGATTGTCCCGAGTTGCGTAACACATACGAAGCAGTGAGATCATTGTATTATAACGATATATGGGGGATGTTTTTATTTGAGAAGCGACCAGTCTTGTTGCACAACAAATTTATAGTTAGATATTGATGTAGACTCTTGAAAATTAAGATTTAACGAGATTCCCGAAATTGAATTCCATTTCTCTGGAGTTGTGTATAATGAGTAGTCCGAATAATGGCGAGTTGGGTTTTTTACATAAATATATAATTTTTATAAAAAAATACAATAATATCTAATAAAATAATTTTTATAAAAATAGCATTTTTTATTAGAGAAATATCGAAATATAATGTAATATGTGAAAGAATTATAGAAATCAATTATGGTAATGACAAATTTAAAATTTTTTCCACGTTAAATTATCTAACTATTTCACCGTAAATTAACTTTTAGTTTGTTTTTTGGATTTGTAATATAAATTTGATGTATGTATTGTAATATATAAAAAATTTAAAAAACAAGTTTTTTTATTGTGGTGTAGACAAGAATATTTTTTAATTTAAGTGCCGTGTTGCTTTTGAGACATAACGTGATGATTTAAGGCAATCCGTGGCCACTGACACTTCGCATCAATCACCATCCCACAGCACTTCGGGTGGCAAGAATAAGATGGGTGCTTATGGAAGAAGGATCAGAACAGGAAATCGCACGGTAACGGAATATCATTGAACGATTCGCGGATGGAATGTCGCTTCTTTGAGGCGTAATTTCTCAACATTCTCTTATCTCCAAATCAATTTTTTCATAGTCGATAATTACACTCCGGATTACATTTCATTAGTGTGAACTCGAGTTGCTTGAAGAATAAGATGCGCGATTGAAACATCTTCTTGTTATGCGATACCATTATCTTTTTGTTACGTGATATTATCATGAATGAATGGAATAGGAGGGTGAGAATTGAATTAAAATTAAAGCCGTACGTTCCATAAAAAGTAAGAAGATGGGTATCTGATAATTGCAGCTCTGAGAATGTTAATGCATCCTCATTGGAAAGAAAGTTACGGCTGTTAAGGGCTTAGCTAAAAAATTTTATATTTCCTATAAAAGTCGCTATTAATTGTAAGAAAAAAAGAATTACGTTATTTAGCTAGCTGAAGTCAACAGTTAAGGATACATTATATGCTTACGTCATTTTCCACATGAAAGATAAAGTACTTGAGGTACTTGAAGAACATCAGTCACCGTAGTTCAATCTTTTTTCCACCGGACGTGCAACATATGTCCTGTATTTAATCTACAGAAAAACTAAATTTGTTTATAAAACGCAAAGTCGCACTTTACGTTTCCCTGGGACCGGGAAAGTTCCCTCGGAGGGACCGCGTATAAATGGGGACTTAGATACTTATCGCATCCGAATAACGGTACCGCGGGAGAACTCTGTAACGTCATTATACGGCGTAGGGCGAACTTCAGTAGCGCAAAAAAGTTAGACGGAATAGCTTGCCGGCGTTTGCCTCGAACGCGAAAACGCTAATAGGTGAGTTCTAGGGAGAAGGTGGAAGCGAGCGATCGCCCGTGCCGTGCCGGAGCGGGTAACCGGAACGGAACGGAGCGATCGCGAGTGGTTACTGACCTCTAGAGCCGAGCACTCTCTTACGCTTGCACTACTTAGCTAACTTGTCGTTACCGCGTGTATTGCGTACGGCCGCGCGGCGATCCGCCGATGGTCACGCTGAATCGCCACTTTTCACGGGGGTACCTTCACCTTGGATGCGGTTGCAGCATCCGCGTGGCTTCGCATAATTCCTAACACGTTTATATCGGGACCGCGAGGCAAGTCGTGAGGCGGATATAGGCATTTATATTTCATGTCATTCTAACGTTGTAGAGATTTGCCCGACTCCGCAGCCAAAATTGGAAATTTCGTATAACGAAAATATTCCAATTATACGAGACATTTGATTTTACCCAAAATTATCTGTT